CAAATAAGTGACACATCTGCCACGTGTCTCTACTACTTTATGATACTTTATGTCTATTGTCTGGCTTCCACTGGGAGTTTCCAGCTCTTCCAGCTCATGGTTGGGACATTGCGAATTCATCTACCATCCACCCTTTTCATGCTCCAATTTGAGGAACATCAACCCGGTTTCCTATGGTTTCCATCAAACAGTGTACTGTTAGGGGTTCTTAATGCTTTCTTAAGGTGTCCGGCTTGGTGTTGGATGGTGTGTCTGCCTTCCCGAGGTCATGTGTGCCTGTGTTGGATAGTGTGTCCGCCCTCCCGAGGCCTTGTCTCCCCCTCCCCTTGTCTCTCCCTCCCCTTGTCTCCCATTGTCTCCCCACATGTGTGCCTGTGTTGGATGGTGCGTCCGCCTTCCCGAGGCCTTGTCTCCCCCCCCCTTGTCTCCCATTGTCTCCCCACATGCGTGCCTGTGTTGGATGGTGCGTCCGCCTTTCCGAGGCCTTGTCTCCCCCACCGATACTTTGACACAGAGGTTTTTTTCACAAAGACATGTTTTCACACATGGATTTATACATGCACGTGCTTTGGTCCAGGGATGGTTTTACACGCAAATACCTATGCGCAGGTGTTTTTGCACAGGGATGCTTTTATACAAAAAAACTTTTGCGCACAGACGCGTGGGTACTTGTACAGACAGATGCCTTTACACAGCGGTGCTTTTACAGAGGAGTGATTTTACACGCACGTGCGTTTACACAGGGCTTCTTTTGACACAAATGAGCTTTTACACACAGGATATTTTAGGGTAAACACTCTTACGCACAGATGTTCTTTACACAGACAAACATTTGTACAAAGGCGTTTTTTTAGACACATATACTTTTACAAAAAAAATGCACGGATACTTTTACGGAGAGAGGCTTTTACACACACGTGCTTTTAGACTAGGACGCATCTAGGAAGAGGCATTCTTACATGGGTGGCTGGAAACACGATTTGGGGCAGGGTTCAAGCCATTTGGGAATTAAGTTTCCAGCCATTTTGCTTTTACCGAGGGATGCGTTTACATACAAGGTCTTCTACAGAGATGGTTTTACGCAGAGAGATGATTTTACAAAGGAATGCTTCTACTTACAAATGTTGTTACACAGAGATACTTTCAACACAGAGATGCTTTTACACACGGGTGCTTTAAGATACAACTGAAATGATTTTGCTAAGAAAAAATTAGACACAGGCGGGTTTTCACACGAGTACCTTTACCCCTTCACACAGAGATGTTTCTACACAGGTATTTTTACATGTTAATACGTCTACAATTCACAGTGCTTTACGCACACATTCTTTTACACGCAAACATTTTTACACAGAGGCACTTTGACACACAGTGGCAGGCACGTTTACATGCAAATACTTTTACACGGCGGTGTTCATTTTGCGTGCGTTTTCTTTACATACACGCATGCTCTGTCACAGGGATGCCTTTGATCACACATGCTTTTACACAGAAATTTTAACCCGGGGACACCTTTGCACAGAGAGAAATGCCCGATTTATTTCCCTATTTATTTTCTGATTGATTTCCCTATTTATTTCCCTATTTATTTCCCTATTTATTTCCGCATTTATTTCCCTATTTGCCTCTCTATTTATTTCCCTATTTATTTCCCTATTTATGTCCCTAATCTATGTACCTATTTATTCCCCAATTTATTTCCCTATTTATTTCCCTATTTATTCACCTATTTATTATTTCCCGATATATTTCCCTTTTTATTTCCCTATTTACTTTCCTATTTATTTCCCTCTTTATTTCCCTATTTATTCCGCTATTTCCCTATTTATGTCCCTAATCTATGTACCTATTTATTTCCCTATTTATTTCCCTATTCATTTCCTTATTTATTTCCCTATGTATTTCCCTATTTATTTCCCTATTTATTTCCCTATTTATCTCCCTATTTATTTCCCTATTTATTTCCCTATTTATTTCCCTATTTATTTCCTTATTTATTCCCCTATTTATTTCCCTATTTATTTCCCTATTTATTTCCCTATTTATGTCCCTAATCTATGTACCTATTTATTTCCCTATTTATTTCCCTATTCATTTCCTTATTTATTTCCCTATGTATTTCCCTATTTATTTCCCTATTTATTTCCCTATTTATGTCCCTAATCTATGTACCTATTTATTTCCCTATTTATTTCCCTATTTATTTCCCTATTTATTTCCCTATTTATTCCCCTATTTATTTCCCTATTTATTTCCCTATTTATTTCCCTATTTATTCCCCTATTTATTTCCCTATTTATTTCCCTATTCAGTTCCTTATTTATTTCCCTATTTATTTCCCTATTTATGTTCCTATTTATGTTCCTATTTATTTCCCTATTTATTTCCCTATTTATTTCCCTATTTATTTCCCTATTTATTTCCCTATTTATTTCCCTATTTATTTCCCTATTTATTTCCCTATTTATTCCCCTATTTATTCCCCTATTTATTTCCCTATTTATTTCCCTATTCATTTCCTTACCCTCCAGGTCAAAGACCTCGTAAAACTTGGCCTCTTAACTTTGCTGAAAAGGACCTACTATTACTTGATGAGGACCTACTATTACTTGGACCTTTTGGGTCCAAAGTTAAGATGATGGCCATGGATGTCCAACAGTAATATATAAGATGCATAAACCCATAATTGTTGCCCTAAATTTCAGGATAGCCACATCCCTTCACCGACCAAATATCCAATTTGCGGTTTATCATAGGGTACCCCACACTATTTTATCATTGGGAGTCCAGGGCTGGAACCACCACAAACGTATGGTTTTTGAATTATCAGGGGCCCAGAATCGCTAGCGTGAACCGAGCGTGAACCGAGCGTGAACCGGACCAACTATGACCGGCAAAAGACCAACTATGACTGGCAAAAGACCAACTATGACCGTGAACCGAGCGTGAACCGAGCGTGAAACCCTAGGAACCATTTTTTCAGTGTGGAAATTTCTGCCAAACATATAATTTCTTGAGGGGAAACGCCACGAATTTGCTTTGCATATGCTCCGGAATGTCAGCCTTAGTGGCTGTTCATTGCAACTTGGAAAGGCCCATTCGGGGCTATGATCTGTAGGTGATTGAATGCTTCCCAATCATGCATCAACAGTTTCAAATGGGGTTCAAGTCAAATTCAGCATTGATGGGAAAAAGGGCTGAGCTCTATAAAACCAAGTAAACCAGAGGACCTCGTAAAACTTGGTCTTTTGCAAAAGACCTCGTAAAACTTGACCTTCCGACTTGCAGGGTTATTTATTTCCCTATTTATTTCCCTATTTATTTCCCTATTTATTTCCCTATTTATTTCCCTATTTATTTCCCTATTTATTTCCCTATTTATTTCCCTATTTATTTCCCTATTTACTTTCCTATTTATTTCCCTCTTTATTTCCCTATTTATTCCGCTATTTCCCTATTTATGTCCCTAATCTATGTACCTATTTATTTCCCTATTTATTTCCCTATTTATTTCCCTATTTATTTCCCTATTTATTCCACTATTTATTTCCCTACTTATTATTTCCCTATTTATTTCCCTATTTATTTCCCTATTTATTTCCCTATTTATTTCCCTATTTATTTCCCTATTTATTTCCCTATTTATTTCCCTATTTATTATTTCCCGATTTATTTCCCTTTTTATTTCCCTATTTATTCCCCTATTTATTACCCTATTTATTTCCCGATTTATTTCCCGATTTATTTCCCGATTTATTTCCCTATTTATTTCCCTATTTATTTCCCTATTTATTTCCCTATTTATTTCCCTATTTATTTCCCTATTTATTTCCGTATTTATTCCACTATTTATTTCCCTATTTATTTCCCTATTTATTTCCCTAGATTTCCCTATTTGTTTCCCTATTTTATTTCATTTCCCAATGTATTTCCCTATTTATTTCCCTATTTATTTCCCTATTTAGTTCCCTATTTATTTCCCTATTTATTTCCCTATTTATTTCCCTATTTATTTCCCTATTTATTTCCCTATTTATTTCCCTATTTTATTTCCCTATTTTATTTCCCTATTTATTTCCCTATTTTATTTCCCTATTTATTTCCCAATTATTTCCCTATTTATTTCCCTATTTATTTCCCTATTTATTTCCCTATTTATTTCCCTATTTATTTCCCTATTTATTTCCCTATTTATTTCCCTATTTATTTCCCTATTTATTTCCCTATTTATTTCCCTATTTATTTCCTTATTTATTTCCCTATTTATTTCCCTATTTATTTCCCTATTTATTTCCCTATTTATTCCCGTATTTATTTCCCGTATTTATTTCCCCATTTATTTCCCCATTTATTTCCCTATTTATTTCCCTATTTATTTCCCTATTTATTTCCCTATTTATTTCCCTATTTATTTCCCTATTTATTTCCCTATTTATTTCCCTATTTATTTCCCTATTTATTCCCGTATTTATTTCCCTATTGATTTCCCTATTTATTTCCCTATTTATTTCCATATTTATTTCCCTATTTATTTCCCTATTTATTTCCCTATTTATTTCCCTATTTATTTCCCTATTTATTTCCCTATTTATTTCCCTATTTATTTCCCTATTTATTTCCCTATTTATTTCCCTATTTTATTTCCCTATTTATTTCCCTACGTATTTCCTTATTTATTTCCCTATTTATTTCCCTATTTATTTCACTATTTATTTCCCTATTTATTTCCCTATTTATTTCCCTATTTATTTCCCTATTTATTTCCCTATTTATTTCCGTATTTATTTCCCTATTTATTTCCCTATTTATTTCCCTATTTATTTCCCGTATTTATTTCCGTATTTATTTCCGTATTTATTTCCCTATTTATTTCCCTATTTATTTCCCTATTTATTTCCCTATTTATTTCCCTATTTATTTCCCTATTTATTTCCCTATTTATTTCCCTATTTATTTCCCTATTTTTCCCTATTTATTTCCCTATTTATTTCCCTATTTATTTCCCTATTTATTTCCCTATTTATTTCCCTATTTATGTCCCTATTTATTTCCCTTTTTATTTCCCTATTTATTTCCCTATTTATTTCCCTATTTATGTCCCTATTTATGTACCTATTTATGTCCCTATTTAATTCCCTATTTATTTCCCTATTTATGTCCCTATTTATTTCCCTTTTTATTTCCCTATTTATGTCCCTATTTATTTCCCTATTTATGTCCCTATTTATGTCCCTATTTATGTCCCTATTTAATTCCCTATTTATTTCCCTATTTATTTCCCTATGTATTTCCCTATTTATTTCCCTATTTATTTCCCTATTTATTTCCCTATTTATTTCATTTTATTTCCCTATTTATTTCCTATTTATTTCCCTATTTATTTTATTTATTTCCCTATTTATTTCCCTATTTATTTCCCTATTTATTTCCCTATTTATTTCCCTATTTATTTCCCTATTTATTTCCCTATTTATTTCCCTATTTATTTCCCTATTTATTTCCCTATTTATTCCCCTATTTATTTCCCCTATTTATTTCCCTATTTATTTCCCCTATTTATTTCCCTATTTATTTCCCTATTTATTTCCCTATTTATTTCCCTATTTATTTCCCTATTTATTTCCCTATTTATTTCCCTATTTATTTCCCTATTTATTTCCCTATTTATTTCCCTATTTATTTCCCTATTTATTTCCCTATTTATTTCCCTATTTATTTCCCTATTTTTTCCCTATTTATTTCCCTATTTATTTCCCTATTTATTTCCCTATTTATTTCCCTATTTATTTCCCTATTTATTTCCCTATTCATTTCCCTATTTATTTCCCTATTTATTTCCCTATTTATTTCCGTATTTATTTCCCTATTTATTTCCCTATTTATTTCCCTATTTATTTCCCGATTTATTTCCCTATTTATTTCCCTATTTATTCCCCTATTTATTTCCCTATTTATTTCCCTATTTATTTCCCTATTTATTTCCCTATTTATTTCCCTATTTATTCCCGTATTTATTTCCCTATTGATTTCCCTATTTATTTCCCTATTATTTCCCTATTTATTTCCCTATTTATTTCCCTATTTATTTCCCTATTTATTTCCCTATTTATTTCCCTATTTATTTCCCTATTTATTTCCCTATTTATTCCCCTATTTATTTCCCTATTTATTTCCCTATTTATTTCCGTATTATTTCCATAGTCATTCGTGTCGCTGCTATTTCATGTGTTTGACCCTGTTCCCCAAAAACACTTCTTGAATCCACCCACTGTTTTGGGGTCTACGGCGTACTACGGTGGTGTAATTCTGCATTCTTTCCATTTCTTTCCCCATAAGATGCCACCTTTCCAGGTGAAGGCACTCTGGGAAGGCCGAGATCCCAGGAATGATGAGCTCCTTGACCTGGCAGAGGCTTTCGGATGTTGGCATGGTGCGCAAACACCGCAAAACACCGCAAAACACCGCAAAACACCGCAAACAAGAATGATTCGAATGATGCCGCAATCAATGGAATATATGGAATGTAATGTTATGACATATTTTGGCATGTTATGACAATGTAATTATTATATAATGCAATCTATATAATTAGTAGTTCGAACTTGATTGCTTGTTCCTGAACTGCGGATTCGTGGGGTTCCTTCTAAAGTTTTTTTCCTCTTGTTCTCGCGGCCTGCAGATCTACAAAAGAGACACTGGAAAGGACTTGTAGCTTGGCTCGGAGCACCTGGTGCGACAATGTTGAAATTCGTTCTCAAAAGATGTCGCTGGAAATGGATTGCTTCTCAGATCTTACTTATCATGATCTTATCAGTATTTAGTACATTTATCTTTTACTATGGCCATTGTGACTTAGTATGGTTGACTTTTAACTCTATTGTCATGTTTGGTGAAATGCGTGCTTTCATGAAAACTTTCATGCTTCAACTTTTTGCAGATGGAGATTTGTGGCCAGGGATGCGGAGGACTAGGCTCTTTGTTGGGCCAACTGTCGGGGCCTTGGTGCCTTTGTGATTTTTGCTTGGCACATGCAGATTTTTGGTCGCATGCCCAGGTAGCCTGAGTGGATGCAACTTGATGTGCAATGGCCATGGGAGGCTTCGTCAATACAAAGCAACACAGGGAACATGTTGGATCATAGAATATCACGCATATGGAGGTGGGCCGGTCAAAAACGACGATGCCATATTTGGGGGCAATTTACCACAGTTCAAGAGGGAACGAGGGTTTTGACTCATACCCATACAACGCCGAAATGCATGCCAGCTGAAAGAGGGCAGATTCTTGAAAACAGCAGAAGGACTCTAGAGGCTCCAGTGGCAGAAGGGAATGAACGACTGATTTAAGTTGCACGGTGCATTGCCACCCCGACACTGTGGGTGTTGCGCTGTCGGTAGCTTTGATTTTCCCATTGGTTCCATCTGATGACATGTCCAACTTCATGATCAAGTCAGAGAACCAGCCAAGTTGCTGTACAGAGCATACCCATCATGGAGCTGTTGGCAGCAAAAAATTCCGTTGGCAGATGCCCAGCGAATCCCTGAACTTTGCTTTGAATTCACTACGGGTAGGACAAGTCCGGTCCAACTAAACGACTGGCTGGAATCCTTGCTTTCCTTCTTCTGGTTTCACTATAAACTGGTTCCGAAATTTAAAGGACAAACTTGTAGTACTTGCGATGTTGCTGCAGGCATGTGGTTTGAGAAGCAACTGAACATGACTTGCTAGGTTCACAAAGCAAGCTCTATTGCTTTCATTGGGGGTGCAGAGGGCCGATGATCGACTCAGTGTCAAGCTCATAAAGCTGTGCTACTTGAAATTGTAAGAGACTTTAGTTACACTCCATCGAAACGCCTCAGAAGCACACAGACACCAGCCAAAGTAGCTGGAAGGGTAGTCCTATGCTGCATGAAATATCCGGTGCAGAGCTTAGCAAGGGACGTGACTAGCGGAATCTAACGAGGTGCAGACCGGAAGAGCGTTATGTATTTTGTCCTATTCTTCTGTGCAAGCATTTATTTGTTTATCCCAGACAGCTGAATGCAAACACGCTGGAGCTTGTTGAGAACAGCTCTGCTGAGCTGCCCTGGTGCAACGATTCATGTCTATGAAGTGCGCCCGCGCACTTGCGACCATTGCTCGCACACAAATCAATTGATTTCAGGATTGGCATGGTTTTCAGCGGCAACATCTTTGCTTCTGGGACTGCCACCTTCCTAGCTTTGAGCAGAAGTTGTTTTATGCTGTTTCTGTTGGTATTCCGGTCGCTTCGCCGGCACCTGAATTGTTTGCTCACGCTCAAACGTGTTAGCTCCTCTCAGAAAGACTAAATCACTACTGGACTTAATTTGGACCCGTTTGTTCCAACCAGGCCTAATTGGCTCAAGACCAACTTTAAAGGGCCCAACATGAGACCCTCCGTGGCCCGATGCAAGCTCAAAAAACCATCAGCATCCTTGCAAATAGTACAATCTGTGCAAAACCAACCTCAAAGATACAGAAAATCAACCTAAAGTGAGCTAAATCTGGGAATTCCGGGAATGCAACGCGCCCCAACTCTCAGGGCCAATAAACACTGATAGGTTCGATCCAGGTTTGGCACAGGCGTGAACATGACACACCTACACAAACAGGCTGCTTTTGCTGTTTCTTTGATGCTTTTTTTGGCTGTGTTGTTTTTCCTCGGACACCTTGAAATATGACTATATACATTGGCATTGAAAGATCTATGTTGATGTGAAGGGGATCGGATTTGGAGCCCCATGTTCAGGCAATGTTATGTAAGGTGGATCTATTTTGAGCCTATCTGGGCGCTATGTTGAGTCCATGTTAGGGGTCATCTGGGGCTTATAGGGCCCATCTTGTGGCAATGTTGGGCCTATGTTGGACCAGTGTTGGTCCAATGTTGAACCTGTTTTGGACCTGTGTCGGACCTATATTTGGCAGCTAAAAAAACGTGGAAAACCGCACGATTCTAGGGCACAAATGCCAACCCCCAAGCGAAGGCTTAATAGCTATTACAAAAAATGCTTTGGCACGTTCGGTCTGGGCAGATTTACGAAAGGCCTCTCTAACAGCAGCTGCATTGATTGGCATGTTGGCGTCATGTTGGCATGGTGTCATGTTGCATGGTGCCAGGCTTTTAATTGCACTTGCGTGGCCTTTTTTCTTTCCCAAGGCGCTCAGTTATTGCACGTAGCTGGTTCAACTCCCCCGTCAGAAAAGGACTTTTGCACTTTCATACAGTACCCAAAAAGTTTGTGTCTCAGCAACCGCTAGTGAACAAACAGTTTACCCAGCTGGGTTGGGTTTTCCAAGCCTCCGTGGTGCCATACTTTTCTTCTCGTTTCTCCACTTCTTGGATGCCGGAGGCCGCAGGTCCTCGAAAAAATGCTCCGCGACGCCCAAAGACAGGCATCGGAGCCTTGGCTCCATGAGACTTTGAACTGTCTCTGCACTTTGATACGCATTTGATTCATTTGTTTTGAAAAGATAGATGCCACCTGCTGTGTGGTTCCAATAGATTCAGGGTTTTCCACCGGCGATCGATCGAACTTGTGACTAATCGCATGGCAAGAATGTTTCCATCTAACAATTTTTTAAGCTTATGCCACCCCAAATAAAAGGTGTATTCGGGGTATTTGTATGTCGTCTTTCCATGCCTTTCCGAGGTGAGGCGGCGCATGAAAAGCCACCGCCACATGAAAAGCCACCGCCAGAGGCACAGGGTCTTAGCGTGTGTAGAAACAGCCCAAGATTTAGATAGCACATGCTTTAAGGCGCAAGTCTCAGAGTTACAAATTGCAGTTCATGAAAATTGATGACTGCTCATGAACATGATGTGGGGTTCAGGGTTGCGGCTAAGTGTCATCATCCTCATTTTGAACTTGAACAGGCCCCGCCTGTTGTACTCCAAGCGGTGCAGTGGGAAGCTCAAGTGTTCCGAGAAATCGCCAGCTCCAGAAGCCAGAGCTAAAGAATGCTAAAGATCTATCATGTCCAGCGCATGTTGACTCTTGATGCCAAGCAAATTGCAGCTTGGGAGTGTCTAACGGAGAGCATGGGATGCATGGGCAGGACTTTTAAGATCAGTGAGCTGCAAGGCTGGGACTTGGTTACAAGAGCCATGGCATTCCTCACCCTGCTGCTGTTGTCTCTTGCCTGCGCCGTGCCCGGGTCTGCGACGCTGCCCACTGAAATCGAACCCTTGGGAGCTACCGATGCCATCGATTTCCATGAGCAAGCCGACAGGCACGAGGAGCATGATGAGCATGATGAGCATGATGATCATGAGAAACGTGAAGATGCCAAGGTTGAGAAGTCTCCGGCGCCAGCACAGCACTGGTGGGATCGCTTTTGGCCATTTGTGCTGCCTGCCACTCCAACAAGGTCAGATGTTGCAGATGCGGTGCAGCTGGATGAGCACGCCCATCACCGTGAGCATGAGGATCAGAAGGGAACTGTCCATTCTGAGCCAGACCATTGGTGGGACCACTTGTGGCCTTTTGCGATGTCTGCTCAAGAGGAGGCTCAGACTTCCCAGCTGCTGGCAGATGAACAGGACTCTCATTTTGGCTTAACATGAATTGCCAATGAATTGGTGGGTTGCGGATGGTTGGTGGAGGAATTATGGTCATTTGTGCATAGCTTATGGGAATCCAGCATTGTTTGCCTCTCCCAAGAGTCATATCCATCCCGAAATTTGAGGAGGAGCATGTTGAGGACGAGGACCGCAAGGGCCACAAACTCCACACCCCAGAATCACATTGGTGGGATCATTTGTGGCCCTTCGTGATGATGACAGCCGCGTTTCTTGGAGCAATTGATCAGCGACTAAAACAACACCACTGTAACCGTTGGACGCTCGAGAAAGTGCACCATATTTACTCACCTTTGGACATTTTTTGGACGTTTTCATTCGAAAAGGCGTTGCCCAACCCACTGAACCCACTTAGTCATTGCTTTGAAGTCCGTGCTCGAACTAGAAGTTGCAGTGTGGGCCATAAACCATCGCCACTCACAAAGGTTCTGAATGTCTTCTGCTGTCCTGTGAGGTTTCCTGCCATCGGGGTTTATGCATTCAAGCGAGCCCAGTCTGCCATGCAGCAGCCACTGTTGGAAGAAGCTCAAACAGTGGTCTAAAGAAGTGACCCGAGCTTTAGTAGCGGTAGCGGCTTAGCTGGTCGTGTGGAGATTCTGCTCCATTCGGCAGGGGCTATAGGATACACACAGAATCGCACAGACCACTGACCACTAAGCAGTGTATGTTCAACATCCTCACCTCTGGTGAACGAACGGCGTTGCATCATGAATCACCGACAGGACATAAAGTGGGAGAGCGCAGGTAGAAGTGGTCATGATTGATCCTAGTAAGATTGACCCAAGACACCCACGCGAGCCTAAACAAACAACTCCTGTTTCCACCAATTTTACGATGTTTATTTGTTCCCCAGAGCTGTTGGACGTGGGCTGAGAGCTGAATATTTGGATCTCAGCTTGCACTAGAAGCTTTTCTCTTGACACCACGTGGACCGTGGGTGGATGCTGGTTGGCCCCGCCAACCAGCATAGAGGATCCGATCAAACTTTCAAGCTCGGACCTCCAGATGGAGAGAAAAAAATGCTGAGTTGAAGGCTCCTAGCAGCTCCTAGCATGCCTCGCACATAGGCTTGATTTGGGGGACTGCATTATTGCAGGCTACCATGGCCAGCATTGCCAGTGGCCACATTCGTGGCCATCCAAGGCCCGAGACAAAGAGCGAAGTAAGGGAACTGGGAGCCTCAGTGGCAGCTGGTTGAACTGGTTGTGGTTGGTCTGGTCGACACTGATCTGTTTTGATACAATCTCACCCCCCTCATGAAAATATATGAAATATCCTTCTAGAAACACTGGGTACCATTGGATCCATTCAATTTTGGGGTCCCCTATGCGGGTATTTATATAATTATTGGGGGATTGGATTAGATGATATGTGATATTATATATATATATATGTTTTAGTATTTTTTGGTAGGTCAGCGACGGCATGAAACCGGCCGCCGCCAGTTGGATTCGAGGGTGCATTCTACTGTGCAGTAGTCCATCCTTACATCATTTTCCAGACCACTTGCTTAAATTTAAGGCCCTCCCTTGTGCAGAGATCATCAACTGTGGCTTCTTCGCATCTTGGCGGTGCAGCGTTTTCCTTCACAGCCAGGATCTTATTTTCCTGTATCGCAGACCAATCAATTTTTTGTTGCAGGCAGGACATGCCAGAAATAGGCAGAGAGAGAGATAACCCATTGAGTGCATTGCGAGCATTTGAGCTCTGGCTTCATTTGACCAAATGGTTGGAGTGGATTTTGCCACCATTCAACTCTCTGTTTCTCCAATCAGGAGATTGGTGCTGGTTATGCAACAGTAGTCATGTAGTCGGTTGAGAAACTAGGTGTCGTACCGGGAATGCAAAGTCTTTCCATCCACTTTCCACTGCACAGCCCAATCAGAGGTGCGGCTTCAAAGATAGCGCTGAACTGGAGAAGATCAAGCTGCGCATTTGGCGATTTGTCGATGACCTGCTCCAAGATGGCTTTGGGCAGCCCTTGGTTTGTGCTGATGGTGTTCAGACCAGTATCATACGGTGATGGGTTGTCAAAGTTATATAAATATATAATTGGGTGGTGCCTCTTCAGAGTTATAAAGTTGAGGACCCAGATCAGTAGCTCAAGACCGTGCCTAAAATGCATAACTCATCATTTTTTGGCTCAAGAACTGAAGAACAAAACATTGCATCAAGAGCATTCTGCCAACATGCGCAGCAACTCTCAGCAAATTCTATCCTACAGTACCCACTCCCATTCTTGTTGGTTAAACCTCCATGAAGCTGCAGAGTGCTACTTTCCAAACATCGGCGTTCTACTGGTACCCACTTCCATATTTCATGAAAAGAGGGGGCTCGTGAAGGGCTGGTATTGGCCAGATCCCCACTTTTCGAAATGGACAACGGGCAACGTAATGATGGCACGCAGAACGTTCACCCAAGCAGCTCAGATTGTTTCAGGCCTAGGCCAGCGGAGGAAATCCCATGGCCGGCAGCTCGAACCATGAATCGGAAGGAGTTGGTGCAAGAACTGGATGCTTTGCAAGACAAGTTCAAGCTTCAACAAAAGCATCTGACCCGCATTCTATTGCAAATGCGTTTCCTCCAGTAGGCCGCGTTTAACATGAACAGCTGACAGTCAAGATGCAGAGTAGAAAAAGTGGTCATGGTGGACCCTGCATGCCAAGGTATGGCAGATCGGTGCAGCCCGACTCTCGCCTACCAACTGGTCCAGCAGCACTTCGGGCTGCCGAGGCTCGTTTGGAAACTGCAGCAATTGCCATTTTGGCTGTCCAGCATTCTCATTCACCACGAAAGTGTCACGGTCAAGCACCATCATTCACCACGAACGTTTGTAATGAATAGGATGATGGGCATGCCTTTTTTGCGGGGGCGTTGGTGGTGGACATATGTACAGTAAGTATTGAAATTGGACCCGATATCAACTTTAGAATTGGATGCATCAATTAGCAGGAAATTACCATTTTAAAAGTACTTAACCACGTGCACAGAGAGAGAGAGAGAGAGAGAGATGTATATATAGCTGATTGAAGGCAATGTGGAAAAACCAAGAGTTCTGAAGCCCGTTTGCCCAGTGTCCGAAGGAGCACCTGGCCAGCAGATTGCCAGCCTCACGTGCAGAACGGGCCTTGGAAGAGATCACTCATGGCCAAGCCATGTGGCAAAAGTTCCAGGCACGAAGCATTTTTGTCATCCTTTGCACAAATTTCTTGGAGTTTTGAGAAGCGTCAGCCTCGGAATGAGTCAAATAAGGAACAAGTAAAGCACTCTATAGATCGGTCTGAGTCCAGTCTCCACGTTTTTGAAGGGTGCCGGGTAGTTTTTTTCGGGTCTTGATCTTCCTTGAATGACTTGGCATATGGCACAGGAGCAAGCAGAAGCTGACGAGAAGAGCAAGGAGCTTCACGGCCCCAATGGCATTGCTCAGCGGAAGGCGCGGTTCCAAAGACCAATAGAGTCCAGTGGCGGAAGTAGGAGCTGCTGATGTGCTGATACATGAGAAAACAGCACCTAAATCTCAGACACATGGCAACCAGTCAACTGGACAATCCCAAGGTGCAGAGTTTTTGGTTCAAAGTCAGTGTATTACTCAGTGAACCGATCCCATTGCATCCATGTGGGCGCGCTTGGTTTGCACGAGTGTTTCAAGAATGAACAACTGGCGGTGGCGATGTTTTTTTTAGTTCCGCGGTTCTCACATCTTGCTTGATATATCTGCCAGGATGGCTTGGACATGTCCTTCCAACAGCTGATGAGTGATGCTTCCCGTATGCGGTCTCAGCTGAACGAGATTGGAAACTTGGGCGCAAACAGGATGCCTTGCAGGTGCCCACGATTGCCCACGTGCCACTCAGTGATCACGTCTGAGGCCTTCAACTGGGCCGCGGGGGCCGGGACAAAGCGCTGGAGCATTTGAAGCAGAACGCAGTGCCACGCGATTTGCAGGATGAGTTCCGGGAACAGCAAAAGGCTTGGTGTAAGATTTCCGTGGTTCAGATGTGGCGTTTGGGTTTCCTAACTTTCATAGCGTTTGATCAAGAACTGATGCATCGGCAGGTTCTACTGGAACAAAAGCGGCTGCTGGAACAGCTTCGTCACGAACGACAAGTGGCTGCTGGGGACCAGCATCTTGGCCCAAGGAAGAGGCAAAGAGCTTTTGCGGATTTTGCGGCCTTAGTGAAGGCAGTGGCAGCCTGTTATACAGTATCAATTAAAGTTATATAATGTAAATCATGCACATATACATTATAAAGCGCTATAAATAAATATATAGACCACCTTTTCTGCACACTTTTTCCACGCTCTGGTGAAAGGTACTGGCTACATCGAAAGAACAGGCTTGACCACGAAGACAATATAGTTGGCAAAGAAGGACATCTTCCGTGATCAGCAGCTTCATCATGTGACATGAGATGCATGTCCAGCAGCTAGACCTCAATATTCTGCATCCCGCAGATACAGGGACCAACATTGTGTTCAATGATTTTGTACAGTGTACCATCCTGTACCCATGCATGGTGGAAAGGTGGGCCCGTTGCAGGAGTTGATCCAGCAGTCCCTCCTGAAGAGCTGTTGGAGGCTCACCAAAGAATGCGAGCTAATCCGGAAGGCGAACGAAACCAGCCAGCAAGCGATCTTTTCCTCTTTTTCCTGGAGTTTTGGCAGATTTTTCCTTGCTGTAGGTTATGTATTTCTTTAGTATTCTGGTTTGGATGTGATGCCAAATTCGGAGGAATCTATGGCTGGAGTGATCCCCAAGTAGCCGTTCCACCGCAAGACGGTTATGTGCCTCGGCGTGGCCTTGTCTTTGTGAGGCAGTTTTTCTTTCCTGTCTTCCTCAGTATCAAAGTATGTCAGGAAATAAAGGGACCGCGGACTTCTACGAGCACCCAGAGAGTGGCACTCCAGTGATTGAATAGTCTTCCCAGAGTCATACCTAAGACCCCTGCCCAAGTCGTAGAGTCAAGGTTTGTGCGGAGATCTTGCAAGTCTCAAGAAGGCAACAGCCCGGAACCGTGGCAGAGCTTTGCATTATCGACAAGGCCAAGTTGAAGAAGTTGTGTTTGTGGGTTCCATATGGTTCCATAAGCGGCGGCGTGTTGGATCGGTGTATGAATGAGAAAAACCGTGTGCTACGCAGGCTGGAGTCACCTTGGCACGCAGCACCGCTGATTTCCCTGACGAAGTTGGTGAGCGCTGCGTGATGACAGTAACGATTCCAGAAGCCATTGCCGCAGGAAATGCCACTGCCGTACCTCAGACTGCAGAAGACTGAGAAAACATATGAAAACATGCGTATTTATGCCTTTATGCATGCTTGCATGTTTGCCACTCTTGTCAAATGTGAATTACATTTTTGATCATTTTTGCAAGAGCCTGAAGGGCTTCACAAGTTAATTATGCAGCAACTTTTTCTCGGCCACTCACTGGGCCAGGAAGTCTCCATTCTGGGCCCGAATTGGCAGAACAGCTTGAGACTCCCTCTGTCAGATCTCAGTAGCTGTGTGCAACTGCAAGACTACCAGATGGAGGGGGAGAAGCCGTTGAACGTGGATTTAGCACAGCAGAGCAGGTTTTTGGGGCCTCTTGTATTTTTTTTCAGTGTTCTGAGTGTTTGGCGTAGGTCACTGGGTTGCCTCAGAATCCTTTGCTTGCCGGAGGAAATTGGCAGAGACCGTAATTTTCGTAATTTTTTTGGGCGCTAAGCGTCAATAAACGGGTTAGACAATCGGACGGAAAGGATGTCCACTGCCCACCCTGAAGTTTTGCGGGCCAAGGTCAGAATGAGCCTTGTGTGTGTAAGACCTCAAAATGATCAAGGGCATCGTCTTCAAGCCTCTCGAGTTGTCGACAACCCTTCAGCTTCTCACTTTGCAACTTCATGATGGGAATGAAGCGCACATGTTAGTGCAAAGGGGCATTCTACGGTATTCTGTGCAAGGAAAGGGATGCATAAACAATACATGCAGATATATGTGTCTCCTTGAAACTTTTGAAACCATGACACCCGCGTGACCCCCAATCCATGGTTGCCCTGGGCAGCCTGGGAGGTTTGTCCTCATTCTGACTTGCCGGGCTCTTATCCAGAACTTCCTCCCTCGGATGCCTTTCGCCGGTCTCAAAAAGCGCAGTGGCAGGAACAAGGCGTGGCTACATGTGCCCAGCATTCAGCAAGAAGGATTGAGAAGGGCAAGACCGGCACTAAATGTTTTACCAAATGTTATTCACCCCGCAGGCTGTCCGGACTACATTCATGGAGTGGATTTATCCTACAATCTGGCGACTGAAAACGAACGCCGTGCAAGAGCTGTGGCTATGCGAAAACGAGCTCCTATCAGGGCACAAGAAGAGATAGCAACGACACCAACGTTTGAGGCTGAGGACATTCCTGGATCAACGGAGGAGCCACCGGTCAGAGGTACATGCTGTCCTACCGGTATTTTTGGTTGCGCCTATCAGATGATTGATGACCGATGTGTACTTACACCAATTGTACACCACTGTTCCGGACAACTCTTTAGCTCCCTTATCCTTCTTTGCGTTGGACAATGATATCAGAAGGAAAGTTCAGACTCAAACAGCCACATGCCCTTGGATTGAGCTGATGCAGGTGGATTTTTTTCTGGATGGGAAGAGCCCAGTGATTTTCGGTCAAGGCTCTTCCAGTCTTTGATATAGCGCCATATATATAGATCATATAGTGCCACAACACTTGGTTTAATTCAGCAGCTGCAACTAGTTTGATACTGTTTGATGCGGGCTTTGCTTGACAATTTCATTTTACAGTTCGATGTACCACTTTGCCACACTTTCTGCGTGCCAGGGCGCAGGGAAGCTCTTCACAGTCATCCAGATGGGACAGAGATGACCTGTCCGAGTTGGGTTCGCGGAATGATCCCTCGCGCTCCTCGCATGGATTTGCTGAAAGGGGTGTCCGAAGAGGCCCTGAGGCGGGACCCTTTGCTGGAAGAGCTTTGAGATGCTTTGAGCGTATACAACTCAACAAACGCCCCACACACCTACTGATTCGGCTCACATCCTCAGCTGTTGAATTTATGATTTCCCTTGGATCGCAATCTGTCGGATCGCCACCACAACAGGGTTTGATTTTGCGCAGCGGATTATTTCTGCCCTTCAGGCAGATGTCAGCCTGACACCACGCAAAGCCAACGTGTCAAGCCATGGCTTTGCAAAGCGTGGTCCTGTGGAGGCGTGGGTCTGTCCAAATTAGACATATTCAGGTACCTGACATGGCCCTCAATTCATTTGGCCATCAATTTTCTCATCTCAACATGACATCGCATTGATATCCCGACGTACGACAAATAATATGTTTGATCATATTTGCACAAGTTTCTTATTGTTTCTTGCTGTTGCTATTGCCATGTCACGCATGTTGTGCATGACTCCGGTTTGGGCCTGTGTTTTCCTCAAGCTGCCACCAGCTTCCGTGAAACAGCTGAAGCTGAGATGACAGGACTACCAGCTGAGTCAAGCACGAGGAGGACTTCGTCTGGATGCCGTTGATATTTATCAGGGTCCTTATCAAGAGGCCCGGGTCATGTCTCCAGGTGTCAAGGCCCAGCACTTTGGATCGTTGCTTTTTTAGTAGTGCCAGGTGGTGACTTCCCCGGCCTTCGGTGCTCCAAATGAGAGCCAGCAAATGACAAGGCAAGATGACTCGGCCGAGCACAGTCGTTCGCCTCGCACGAAGATCAAGAAAAAGGTTGCGAGGCTGGGATCCACAGCCAAACTGCATGTGCTCACCGTGCAGCAAAGTCGTAAGCATTTCTTTTTAAAAGGAACACTTGTCCCGTTTTCTGGTGTCTCGATGGTCTCCACCACTTGTCATGCCTTTGGATGAGAGACACTGGTTTTTGCCAGCTTGTCCTAGTCCTAGTCTGTCAAACACTTCAGGCCATATGTGCAAAGTGAAGAGGCAAATCCCCGACACTGAGTTTTTGAATGGCAAGCTTTTCTGAAACACTTTGCTATTGTTTTCGTTTGTCTTGGTATCTCGCATGCAGGTAACTACTGTAGGTTGTTTCTAGCGAGCCGTTCTTCGCACATGCAGCAGTGAGACTTGAAGCGCTTAGGAAACATGGAAACCGCAGTCGCTTCAACCTGGACTTTGCCAGACTTCCCAGCCTTCGCTGCATTCGCTGGGTTTGGCACGCAACAGGAGCCTCAGGCCCGCGTCAGCTGGTCATGGCGATTTGCAGCACCAGAAGCAGAGTAGGGTCGGCAGCAGAAGCGCTTGAAGCAATGTGAAGCAAGTAACATGCCAAGAGCATCGATGAAGAACAATACGAACGCCTGTAATTTCTACGCGTTTATTTTGGTCCCAATTTTAGACGCACAGTGGTTCTCCGTGGTTCGCTTCTTCTATGCTGTGATCGCCAGGAAGAGGAGATTCCAGCAGCCCAACCAGAGTCTGAGCCAAGTTTCTTGACAGCCTTGACGATGCCCTTTGCAGCCTTTGCAGGCTTCGGATTCTTGGACGTACAGTGTGCAAAAGCAACAATTGACGATCAGTACAATAACAGATAATAACAGCTATGCTAATGTATGCTGCGCATTGCTTGGATTGAGTGGGGCGGGCAGAGAACATGAGATCTCGCATCATCTCACATCATCTCGCATCTAATTTCCATGAGGCGTCCAAATTGAGCCGATCCAAGATGCCCAAGGCCTCAGCACATGATTTCCAGTCCCAATTCCAAGGAGAGGAGGCGCAGGCGAAGCCGCCAGCGCCAAAGCCGCCGCCTCCAAAGAAAGTCCCACAGAAGCCGGTGAAGCCGAAGGAATCTGCCAAGGCAAAGGCAGCCAGAGCCGCCAAGGAGGAGATATGACATGCACCACACCTGTGAAACATGTTGAAACAACATGAAACAACTGTTGTGGCTTTGAAATGCCTTTGAACCCACCTGCAACTTGTAAATGTTGATGTTTGCTCTTATGGACACGAATCAGCAATGTGCCCAGAAATCTGGATCAATTGATAGCAAACATGTTTTGAATCCGCGGGTCCAAGTTTATCCAGAAGCATTTCGGTGAAATTTGGAACGCTATGCCGCTATACTGGCTATACTATACAGTTCAGGGCACTTTGGGGGAAATATGCGCGACTCCAGGAGCTCAAGTCAATGACCCAGGTGGGTTGGCAGCCATGGGCCATGTATGCGGCTGATGAGGAGACTTGAGCTGTGCCTCAAGGTCAGTGTGCATCCATCAGTGGGGTAAATACGGACACTGCATGATTTGGACACTGATGATTCACCAAGTCATTGGGTCATTCATTTTTCAGGACGTGCTGGGTCTGAGTTGCAAGACCAATTGATCAGGAGCCAATTGAGAACCAGGACAGCGTTGTTTTGCCGCTGCGTCCGCCGCACAGTGCCCTGGATTCGACATGTTTCTGATTGCATGCTTGGTTGCCTCGGTTTGGATGGTGCCACAGACCTATAGCCTATAGGGCTTTCAGACACATCACTGGCTATTTTGAACTTGTGACGTGCACAGCTTTTAGAAAGCGCACCGGGGTACGACAAACGACCAAGCTACTGTACTACATCAATCTAGAATACGGGCATTGCACAGGACCTCTATACAGCTTTTTTTGCTTGTTGTCATCACCAGTGCTGACCGCAAAATTCATCCTGGTGAGGCGCGAGAAATCTCAACCAGCTCTATGGCAAATTGCTGCACAGGCAAAGAGATGGCAAGCTGGGACACCGCAATGTGGGGCAGGACAGTGTTCATGTGTTCACGTGAGAAGGCGGCTCCACGTGCGGCACTCTGCAGGACGTTCTGGAATTTGCAGCTCGAGTTGCAAAATTGGAGACGCTTGCGCCAAACTTGCAGCAGCACGAGGAGGCGCACACTTGTTTTAAAGCAGCTGGTTGAGCCTAGGCCTAGGTTGGCATTGTGTAATTAGTTGAAGCGTTTGCGAAGCTTGTTTTGGAGCCATGTCAGGGCATTTCTGGCTTGCTTTGGAAGAAATCTCAGAGAGGAGAGATAGGTATAGAGAGAGAGAGAGATGAGGGATAGAGGGATAGGGGGATAAAGGGACAGAGATATAAGATGATGAAAGACACAGACAGTACATACACGGCAAGGCGTTACTAGAGGACAGATGTGCAAGTCATTCATCGGCCGGCAGGAAGAAGTGAATGGAGCAAACAAGATGATGACAGCTTATGCTGCATTGCTGTTAGACTCCCTCCAGCAGTACAAAGACAGTAGCTTTGTCCGAACGTGCCGCACCATCCAAAATCTATAGAATTTAGGTCAGCAAAAATTTGAACCAAATTGGCTGAATTGGGGCAGCTGCGGTGAGGCGTGAACTGGGGAGGGTTCTTGCACTGCAGCGACTAGGTTCGGTCTTGGGACTGTGGATCGTGGAGGCATTGACCACGCTGTTTCATGCTGGAGGGGCAGACCAGCAAGCAGAGTTTTCGGTGCCCTTCTTCCATGCATTCGCCACTTGGCTTGTTCTTGTTTCATGGTAAATGATTTTGTGTTTGGACTTGAGCGACCCAATTACTCAAGTAATTAACGCTTAAGATCTCTGTCGCATCGGGACCAGCATTCCGTGAAGATTATGAAGGGCGGTGGCAATGTCTTATCTTAGGTTGATGTCGGACTGACATTTCAGAGCGACGACCTACCAAACCTGCACATGAGAGTCCTACAAGGCTTGTAGTCCAGAAACTTCTTGTATGGTTTCCTTTTGGCGGCCAAAGCAGGTGAATTCTTAGGAACAGTATGGAAGAGTGTATTTTGTCAGACTGAGAGGGGACGGGATTTAATGATTACATTGTGATTACCTTACAATTACAATCATTCAAAGTCACAAGAAGTTTCGCACTTGTTCTTTTTTCAAGTTCAAGGGTCTGTGGGAAGCCGCAAGTCATGCCAGGCCTTGCAGAAGTTGCTAGTCCAGACTGCAGACTCTGCGATCCAGGCTTGCTGGACTATGTCTTGGATCAGTTGGATCAGAACCGGAAGCTCGGTTTGTAAACTGGCACTAAAACAAAAGTGCTAAGTGTAGTTCACCAGTCACTAGCTGACTAGCTGGTTGGACATTGGACTCCCAGGAACAAGCTGAATACCTTGACTACAGAGCATGCCTTAGCGGTTCTTTGTATGCTGCGCTCTCCGAACCGCGTCAATGAGCAGCTGCGGCACTGCCTACTGGTCTTGCGGGGCTTGAAGTCTGAAGAACATCTTTGCACCCGTGCCATGGTGACGGCGGCAGAGCTCTACACGGTTGTGGATAGGCTAGTAGCCAAGGACTGAGTCGGGAACTTGAAATTGCGCATGATCTATTTATTCTTCCTCTATGGTCCTGATAGCAAGTGGTAGGAAACAGTGTTATCCTCAGATAAGCTTTCCTCTTGAGTTTTTGTGTGAAACATGTTGAAGCCGTGCTATATCCTTTGCCATCTCGGGTTTGCAGTGAGATCAGGAGCGGCAGAGCAGGGAACAAGGCAACTTCTATTCCAGCTACTCCGGCTCAATTCCTTTTTGGCCGAACTTTCCGTGGGGGCTGAGACATGCGAAGGGCCAAAATAATATGAATAGCAATACCTTTGAAAGATGATTTGGGGACATCCCATGTTGAATCATGTTCATGGCCTTGTTCAAACATGGTCAATAGAAGCGATGCTGGGTCATGGCCACGGTAAGGCACCTTCGATGACGCGGCGCAAAGTGCTTTCCTTGCTGAGCGCGGCATTCCTCAATCTGGCGTAGATGTCCGTTTGGTCGCCACCGTCACTAACCATAAAGTTGAGGGTTGTACTATGTTGTACTATGTTGTACTATGTTATACTTCAGACAGATTAAACAGCATGGGGTTGTCTACTTGGAGGAAGGTTATAGTTAGTTATATTTAGTTATAGTCATAGTTATAATATGTTTTTAAGACACGTTTCATCTTCATCGGCTCGTGCGCTTTCATTTGGTTCCGGTGGAATATGCTGGAATTGGGCTCAGCCTGATTCTTGAGATTTTTTGGATGCGTTGATAGGGTGGTTTGTCTTTGAGACCTGGATACATGTGCACTTGACTAAGCAGGTTCGTGGCCCTTTTTGGGGACAGGGTTTTACGATGTTTTACGTTTACGCTTGTATAAGAAAGAACGACAAAGACCAAATTACCATTTTTACCGCGGATCTTCTTAAAGTTTTCGATTTTTACAATTTTTTCTTCTTGTGTTAGTATCATTTTCGTACATTTTTCGTTTTTTCCCGTTTTTTTAACCACGGAAGTTGGTAAAATGTTCGATGTTTACCATTTTTTTACCGCGGATGTTGGTAACTTTTTCGAATTTTTCAACACACACACATATATATATAAATATTGTTGTTGCAGAGTAGTGCACCATGTACATAGTCATTTCACCTCTATATATATACGTGTACGCGTGGCTCAAGAAATGCTGCGCAGGGTGTAGCTGTTATTCGTGGTTGTTTGCGGTTTCTAACCCGTTTCTACAGGTTATCAGCCGTATCGCCAAAGGTGATTGGCTGGTTTCCTTTTGTCTCGCACTTTTCGTTCTTCCTCTGTAGCTTTCGCAATGGCTTCTACCCCCGCGCTCCCTGCCCCGGGCGGGAACGCCACGGCTGCTTTGGCCTTAGCGAACCCTACACATCCGGAGGAAGTGGTAATCCATTCAGGCGCTGCTACAACTACAGAAGGTGATATGAGTTACTTGGATGAAGAGTTTGACCCATGCCGTCAAGATCCACGCAGGAACATGCCAGGTGTCTTGGACTCGAATGTTGAAATCAGTCAACTCAATACCATCAACTTTAACACTGTTGATCAGCGTACCGCCAATGTGGCAGTGGTACAACAGGGTATTGATCCGAATCTGGCGAATCAACTTATGGCTGCTCACCAGCAGGCATTGCAGAGTGAGGCAAACGTGCGCCACTCTGAGGTCATGGAACGTCAACGTATGGAGCTTGTGAGTGAAGCTCGAGATCAACTTGCAAGCGTCGAACAACAAGCAGCCGAAGAAATTTCCAGGAGAAACCTTTTGTTGAACGAGCAGGCCGCCCAGGCGATGAGTGAGCATAAATCTGCTCAACTGCAGGTCACAGCGCAGGATCATCGCATCAGGGAACTGAGTGCCGAACTGACTCAGGTGGTCAATAATGCAGGTGTTTTGACATCGTCTGCGGAGAGGTCAAATGCCGATCTGCAGGCAGCACGTTCAGAACTTGCAGAGTACCGCACTCAGATTGATGCAATGAATCAACACGCTTTGAACATGCATAAGCTGGCAGAATCTCAGAAGAAGGACTTCGAGGCGGAGATTGAGAAGCTTCGGAAAGAGCAGAAAGAGTTCATCCGGAATCTAAAGTCTCAACCTCTGGAGGGAACTCCTGGACTCATGATCCATTACGGTCCCGGAAAACCCATTCCACAATCCTCGAAGCCCAAGGGTCCAACCATTGTAGAGTTAGCTTCGGGAAGCAAGAAGCCTCAGCATTCATCAGATGCTGACGATGAGCATTTTCAGGCAGAACCCTTGAAGCCACCGGGACTTCCCGGCGGTGGACCTCCAGGAGATGACGGTGATGATGATGACTATGACGACAAGAGAGGTCGCAGAGACAAGAAAGACAAGAAGAAGGACCGCAAGACTAGTCGTGGCCGTTCGCGACGACGACGTCGAAGAGATCCTTCATCCTCACCTTCATCATCAACATCCCCTACGTCGTCAAGTTCGGATTCTGAGAGTTCCTTTACCCGAAAGGTCAAAAAGGCCTTGGAGCGTTCTAGGACTAGTGATACTAAGGCCAAAGAGTCTGATAGGATCCTTGTACCTAAGTTCCCTCAACCCGAAAATTATAGGAATTGGAGAATTCGAGTAAGGGATGCCATAATTGCTGCTTCTGCTAAACCCGACCTAGCTTTTCAGTGGGTGGAGGAAGTGTTCAGGACAGACCAGTCCGCCGATGCCTTGAAGGACTCAGGTAAATTCGTGACCCTGGACGCAAAGCTCATGTCTTCGCTCACCAACATCTGCGAAGGGGACTTTGCACGGCAACTTGACATCTTTAAAGAAGAACAAGCCAAGTCAGGGACACCAGCTAGGGGACGTCAAGCATTGCTCATGATTCATAAACACTTCAGTACAAGTAGGAAGCATGGTGCAGTGTACGACATTGAGGACCTCATGGCTGTTACCTTAGTCAATGATGATCTCAGAGGTTTCATCACTCGATGGGACGCTGTGATCGCTGGAATGACTTCCGAGCCTGACATGATGTGGAAGCAAGCCTACTTTCACAACGCCATCAAGAACTTCAAGCCTCTCTCTCATGATCTGGCTGTGTATGATCGCACACCGGAGGGGGAACCCAACCGCTCTTATGATTTTCTCATGAAAGCGGCAAGGGACTACCTTGAGAGAAGACGTCTTGAGAAGATGCGCCAGGCAACCAAGAAGTCCGTTTCAGGTAAAAGAGATGCAACGCCAGCACCCACGAGACCTACGTCCACGGGAAAGCCCACTGGCATTTGCTACGACTTCCAGGCTGGCAAATGTACCAGGGGAAAGGATTGCCGATACCGACATGAAAAGGCAGACAAAGGAAAAGGCGGAGGTAAGAAAGGCAAGTCTAGGTCCAAGTCTAGGGGCGATGGTCGATCCTTGTCTCCCGGATCTAGGAACCAAGTGTGTAAGTTTTGGAAGGCAGGTAAGTGTCAGCGAGGTAATGACTGTGCTTTCCAACACCCACCAAAGCCTGCAGCTGCATCTACCAAAGATGACAAGCGTGGAAAGAGCCAGAAAAAGAAGAAGAGGAATAAGAAGAAGGGCGATCGCTCCAGATCGTCAAGTCGAGGTTCCAACTCCTCGAGAGGCTCACAGAGTCTCAAGGACACAGGGGGAAAACCATCTTCCTCTGGCTCAGCTGCAGTTTGCCTGATGCGCGCTCTGATGATGGTCGCAGTCGTCAACCCTTCGACCAGCACTCATCGCGTGCCGGAAGGCATCGCCTCTCCGCATTGTTTCAACCAGCATTTTGCCATGCCAGTTACACCCAATCGCACTGTTTCATTTGGGGGCAACGATGAAATCTTCGAAGTTCCCATTGAGCAAAATTGTAATTTATATCCGTGCCAAGCCAAACAACGAACTTTCAATCCAGTTCGCATCACCAAGGACGATCGTACTCGTAAAGATACGATCGAAGCACGAGAAAGTGATGCAATACTTGCAGCACAGATGTTGCAATCAGCTGTCTTTCGGGAGTTGCATGGTAAGCTTTGCAAATGCAGCTTTGAATGTGACAGTGATATCGGCTGTCGCCACTGCATCCGTTCCGATCTGAATGCATTGCCAGGACACATGCCTTCTCAGCAGCGTAATGCATCCGCTGAGATCGCATGGATCGCTGACACCGGTATAATAGTGCTCAGGACTTAGTGTGCAGCAAGATGATTCCCGATGACATTGTGTATCACTCTCATGAACCCCTTGAATTAATCACGGCAAATGGTTCTCAATCCGCTGACCAACAAGCTTCTGTTCACATTGATTGCATCGACAAAGAAGTTCATCCATATGTTCTTCCTGATACCCCGGCTGTAATATCGGTAGGGATGAGGTGTATTCAAGATGGATGGGATTTTGTTTGGAAGAGTTTTAGTCGCCCATATTTCAAGAAGAAAGATGGAACTAAGATCAAACTTGAAGTCAAAGATTTTGTTCCTTATTTACCATCAAGAGATGGCCAGGTACCCGCTGCAGTAGGGATTCCGTTTTCATGGGACTCCGCTGCCGGGAACGGCAAGCCTATCATCTCACCCGTTCGAAGGTCTCGGATGTCAGCTGTCGGCACTGAGTCTGAGGACGAAGTCCAAGAGGTCGAAGAACTGTATGAGGCTTCCATCGCAGACGATGATGAAGTTCCTGGACATGGTGACGATAGTCTCGAGGAGTTCTTCCCTGGTGAACTTGCGCCAGGACCTCCAGCAGCCATGACGCCAGAAGGCGATGTGGGTTCGGAAGATGAAGCCGAAGCTCCTGAAGAACCAGTTGACGGTCGACTTCAACTGCCTGAACCTCAACCAATTGATCGCGGTGAAGCTGCACTTCGAGAAGAGGCCAGGACCCTTAGGCACATGATGACACACACCCCGAAGAATCCTTTTTGTGAAACATGCAAATGTGCAAAGATGTACAAACCTACTAAACGTAGCAAAGGGGAATCTTTGACTGTGGAATCCAACAAGTTTGGGGATCACATCACTGGGGATCATCTTGTGACTAGGGATGCCAACGAACAATCAATTGATGGTGATAGGGTTGCGATGGTCATGAAAGATGTCGCTACGAATTTTCGTTGGATTTATCCTTCCGCTAGAAGTCATGCCAAGGATTGTGTTTTAGCTCTTAGGCATTTCATTGCGCCTGGTGAAGAAGTCGGAGTGTTTTATTCCGATGCAGCGCCATCCATCAAGCTCGCTTGTCGGGAAGTTGGGTGGAGGCAGAACACTAGTGTTGCTTATGTCTCTAAGTCGAACGCAGTCGCCGAGAGGAATCTCAGGTCCGTACTTGAAGGGACTAGAGTAAACCTTGAACAGGCAGGGCTTCACCATTCTTATTGGAGTTATGCTGCACGACATTGGTGTATGGCACACAACATCCAGGACCACCCTGAAATCTTATCTCCCTGGGAGCTTCGTTTTGGGGAAAAGTTCAAGGGACCCAACATTCCTTTTGGGGCCCGCATTGACTATTGGACTGGACCGAAACTCAAACCCAAGAAAGATTTGCGTTTTGACCCAACTTCAAATCCAGGTGTCTTTTTGGGATATGCCATGCAACCGGGTTTCGTTTGGAGAAATGAATTTCTTGTAGCATCATTGAAGGACC